CTGGGATTGAAGTCCACATGTCTTAAAGTTGCCAAGTTTGAGAATTACTGCTCTATTATAAGAATTGGCAAATGATACCAATGCTATGTTTTCACTTTGCACAGGTTGGTATTTTCTCAGTTTCACACTGCACTTTGGGTGGGATAAAGGCTTCAGCGCTGTAGTTCTTTCAAGATGATGTTCCTGAACCTGATTTGCTTCTGGCACTTTACTAATCACAAAGATACTAATCTTCCATGATCCCTCCCCTTCCCTAAAGGGGAAATCACTATAGGAAAGCTTGAAGTAAACTTGAACAAACCAGTTCCTGCAAACGCTCAGCAACATTTCTCACTTATTAGTAGCTTGGATACATTGCCAACCCACCCTGCCTGAAATCACAATAATATTTAAAGTGAATGCAATAGCCTGATTCTGGGTTCCACTGTTAACTGAACTTCATAGAACAGATCTCAAATCTTCAATTGTTGAGTTTAAAAGAATGCAACAGGTCCAGAACCAAGCCAATAAATTGCTGTCAATACATGGTTACTAATCCTGATGGGTATATGCTGCTTCCAAGTTCTGAATAAATTTTTGGACTGGCAATTGGCAGGGAGCAAAAGGGGGGAGACCCATGGCCTTCATGCCTTGCTTGTTGATGTTCATTATGAGGGGGGCTGTGCAAAGGATTTGAAAGGGGTGATTCACAAAACTTGTCAGTGCAGATGAAGCATCCCTCCTTGAAGCATGAAAACAACCATGTCCTTTGGAAGGCTCATGCAGCCGCTTGCCCTGGTTACCTGTGTGTGCCTTCACGCACACAAGCAGTGTTTCCACTGAGGCCTCCAGCAAAGGAAAGTGATTGTATATGCATGTGCACATGCAGACAGCCAGGGTTAGCCTTTAAAGCAGTCACACCCAACTTTCCAAAGGACACAGTTGTTTTAAAAGTTTGAGAAGTGATGCTTCACCTGCATTAACATGCTTTGCAAAGCACTTCTTTTGACTGGTTGACCCATTAAATGAAATTGAGTATGGTTTGGTCTCATCCAACAGAGTTCTTTATAAATTATTATTAGAACAGTCCTCCCTAACCCTTGTGTTCTTCATAACTATTGACACTGCAATCACCATGCTTCACAGTCAGCATGGGTAGAGATGATAGGAGTTAAAATTCAAACACTTCATGACAACACTGAATTATTCAAGGTTTTATTGGAACAATTTCCACCCTGGCCTCCATAACTGGATTATCAGACAAATGCTTAAGTGGGTTAGAGAAGCGCAAATGATATTTGTTAGTTGTGTTCAGTCTTCTGCAACACAAAAAGTATCCTGGATTAAAAAAAAATTATACAGGATGTAAAATCTTCATTGTACAAAAATTGACATCAAGCTATATTGTCATAATCTTAGCTACTGAGTGCTTGCCCATATGTTTATAACGGTTGGGTTCACACTTCCTGCTAAGCCACTGTTTCTTTTAAACATAATTTACTGAACAAGCCATAGTGGCCTGATTTATATATAACACTAAGTCATAAACTAAGAGCAGGCAACTTATATATGTAACAATACAGTACACTGAGCTCTCTCTTTGGCCTTTGAAGGGCTACATAGGTGCCGCTGGTGGCATCATAATGCCATTAAACAAAGCAAACCTTTTGGGGAGGCTTTGTGAGAAAAATCAGCCCAATCTGGGAGAGAGGGAAATGTCCAAGTTGGGGTGAAGTGTTTCCTTTAATGAAACTCAGCGCCCTCAGATGCCATCATCTCTGTCCTAAGTGGCTTTAAAAACATGACTATGCAAATTTGCAGCATACCAAATGACTCCTTAATATTTCTCCAAGAGCATTTCAGGGCCATCTGCACAAGGGTCAAAAAAATCAAAGTGGTGGTCACAGCTACGCAGTCAAAGCACTGCAAAAATTGAGGCAAGGTTTTGTCATGCAGCCATGGCCACTATTTTGACTTTTCTAACATACACACCATCCTTACAGAGGCTCCTGGAAGACTCCTTTAAGTCACCAAGGGCATGCAGGAGGCATTTTTTTAAATCAATGTATGGTAGTGGAACTTTCCTCCCCTAGAGATTGCTCTGAATTCAAGTCTTCTGGAAGAGCTGTAAGAAAGCACTAGCCCAAAATGGGCTTGTTTGGGTTTGCACTAATGTCATGGTAAATTCAGGCAGTGTGGCTTTAAGTATACAATCTGCAGTACACATGGGCTTTGAGAGGGAGGTGATGGGGCAATTGACATCACATGCATCATTTGCACAGACTTCATGACATTGTTGTGGTGTCTTACAGATGGCTATGGTACCCCTTTTATGTTTATGAGAGTTAGCAGGGCTATTTTTTCAGTCCTTTTTTCACTTTTGGGGGGGATGAAGAGTTTAAGGGATGAAATGTTTTAAATATCTAAGGATAGATATTTCCACTGTCATGCACTAACCCAAAGAATGCCTGTTGGTATTTGTGAGATGACTGGCTATAAATGAAAGAAAGGAAACAAGGCCACTTATACTGTGTGAGAGAAAAGTATATCTTTAACGTATATTAAGAATAAAAGACATTACTTTGATATACTAATTTGTAAATTTGCATGATCTTGTTTTTTAAAGCCACGTAGGCCACCAATTATGGCTGCACCAGATGGGGGTATGTGTTGCATAAAGAGTAGTTTCTTCTACCTACATGGAAGATGGGTGGATCTATCATTAGTCATGATGGATTTACCCATCATGAACTCCCAAATTCAAAGGCAATGTACCTCTGAATTTTGTTGCTGGCAAACAAAGGGACTATGGTTTCCAAGCCCTAATTCTGAGGGGTCTGGAGGCATCTAAATGTGGAAAGCAAAATGCAAGGATTTTTTCTATATTCTGCTAAAGGTGTCTTTTTTTCTCCCAGGGGCCTTTACCCTTAAAAGCTGAATCAGTCTATGTCATCATATGAGGTGGTGGGAACTGCCCAGTACTGGATGGTGATGTTATAAGTTGTTAAAGAAAGCACTTCAGCTGCAATTTTTGGCAAACTCTTTACTGTTCCTAATAACCCACACTACCCCAAAGTTAAATAAAAGAATCAAATTACCTATAAGGAAGCAACTGTAGGAATAATCCCATGCAAGAAAGTTGAAAATGAGGAAGCCATGTAACTTACCTCTTCAATAACATTGACAATTTAACCAAAAGGGAACATGCACTGAGTAGGTGAGAACTGCCTTACCAAACTTAGTGCCCATCACATAGGTTATACTGCAATTCTCATTATAGACAGCCAGACCAGCTGGTTGCACTTCTGGATGGGATGATGGGAGCCGTGGTCCAACCCACAAGGAAGCACCAGTTGGAGAAGGCTGTTGTACAGGATTGCAGTCCTAAGGTCCCTCCCTGTGCAATGGCAATTCAAGATAAATGTCATCCTTATGTGCCCTCAGTGAGACTGAAGGGCTTCCAACATGTTTTCCACATTTTACTGATTGACTTCAGGTGTTAATCAGTTTAGCTCCTACTCCAAAGGAACTGTTGTGAAGACAGTTCTGTGCATCACCTCTGAAGCTGTGGAACTTCTCATTTGCTCCTAGTCCTCCTCCTTGGCCCACTGGGTTTCTCCTCCACTCAAGACACTCTAATGCCTTGCTGCCATTCCTTGGTTGTTTTCTGACTGCCATAAGGGCCTGCTTACCATGCCATTAGATAGGACCCATTGCTTAGTTGGTTTTGTAGTGAGAGAACAAGGAACATGTTGGGTACCAGTTCACAGCTTTTTAGCCAACTGCAGGAAGCGTTGCCCAACCCAAGACAGCACCATTCCTCCCTGAGATTCAGATGGCCCTGGCCCTGTTAGGCTTTAAAGTCTTGGCTTTTCCCTCAGGGGCTAAGGCCAGGATGCAAGCCGAGCCCAGGCATAGATAGTGATGAGCTGTGAGACAGCTTTATTAGGAATCTCACTGCATTGTAATATTGTTTAGTTATACTGGGTTATGTTATATATTTATACACTGTTAGCATCTAGAGTCACTAGACTGAGGCGGGCAGCCATGTACATTCAATAATAAATGGGAAGACCAAGATATTTGCCAGGTGCTGGGCTGTAGTACAAAAATGCTGCTTACAATTACTTGCTTAAAGCTCAGAAATTGAAGCTGGTCACAGGAAAACCACCTTGGTTAAATCTGGCTGGGGAATTCTGAAAGCTGACGTCCACACATCTTGAAGTTGCTGAAGTTGAGAAACACTGGGTTCAATCATGCCAGGTCTTATTGACCCGTGAGGGGAATTTAAGTTAGGGGCAACGGACTTGTCCAATAACTGGCTTTCCTGGGGATTTAAGCATGGCTAAGCGGAGATGGAGCTGGGAAGCCAAAACATTTTTGCCTTGTTCCGTTCAAGAGATGCATGCTGCTAATTCATAGGACGTGCATCACAGGCAACCCTTTAGCAGTAGCTTAAGGACTCATCATTGCCAAGCATCTATGCACGTTTGCCTTTTCAGGATAGGCGTAGTTGGACATGTGAATTCTCCTAGTGCAGTGTTTCTCAACCTTGGGAACTCTAAGATGTGTGGACTTCAGCTCCCAAAATTCCCCAGCCAGCCATGCTGGCTGGGGAATTCTGGGAGTTGAAGTTCACACATCTTAGAGTTCCCAAGGTTGAGACACACTGTGCTAGTGAAACGGGGCTGCAGCAGGTAAAGGCTGGTCTGAGAGGGGGTGATTCAGTACGAGGAGGCAGCGAGCCTGAATTCCGGAATGGCTGTTGCTAAAGTGACTTTTTAGAAAGAAGAACCCGCATTACCTTTGGAAGCCTCTGATTTCTGTAGACGTGTAAACAGAAGGCTACGCTGCGCTCCCCGTAAAGGATGTTGGTGCGGATCTTCTGCTGTGTGCGAATGGGTGTGTTTGTGCGCGTGAGAGAAAAGTGTATTCGTGACTCATTGGCCCCAGGCAAGCCTTGAAACGAATCCCAGGAAAAGAGACGGTTGTTCTGCCCTCGCCTTCGCAGCCGCGGGGAATCGTTGCTTCTCTCCCTCTCGCTCTCTCCACCCACATTGGTGCTTGCAAATGTGGGCTTAAAGGCAAGAGTCCGTCTTGACAGCCGAAGCCCCAACCTCCTTCCTCCATGGCGGAGGGTGACTCACCCTCGGCACAAGACCTGTAAGTGGCTTCCAGCTTGAAGGAAGCAGTCCAGCTGTGGTCTCCCTGCAGCGGGGATTGGGTTTCCACGGGCTGCGGGAACTGCCACCGAGCGCGGCGGGGACTCCGCGGTTTGGACGGGAGAAGAAATTCCCCGCTCACTCAGCACGGCTGTACACGGCAGCAACAAGGTTCGTTTTGTTCAACTCCTGCACGGCAGTTTTCGCTAAAGTCTGCTTGGAAAAAAGGAGGGGCTGTTCCGGGATTAGCATGTCTTGTAACTTCAGAGCAACTTTTCAGAACTTTGTATATATATATATATATAGTAAATTGGGGTCATTTGGGGAATAAGTCTCTCTCTCTCTCTCTCACCACCCCCAACCCTTATATTGTTGGGAGACGATTTGTGCCAAGTTGCAAACCAAGATGAGCATTTTAAATACGTATTTCTTGATGCACGGGATTTACAGCAGAGCAGTGTGGCTGCATGCAGTAAGCAGTGCTAAAGAAGATGGCATGTCCCATTGTAAAGTGCTCCGCAGATGCCAACTGAGAACAAGACGCAGAAATATGGTGCACACCCACTCTTAAGTTTTGTAGTGCTGGAGGAAGGGAAGAGCTAGAAGGATCATACCGGGATATTGTACTTTCCCCCCCCTCCTTAGTAGTTTAGAATTGAGATTTGCTGGATTAAAAACATTAACAAGGATGTACAGAAACTACAGAAACTGATCTGGGGCGGAGGTTTTTTTAAGACTGAGTTTTGGAAGGAGTTGTAGTGAAAGGGTGCAATAAATTAACTCCTGTCAAATACATTTCTCCCCTGAATTTAGGAATTAAACCTTTCTGCTAAATCTCTTGTAGGTGGACCAATTATTAAACCTGGCCCAGTTCTGTGGGGTTTTTGGCTAGGATGGGCACAGTAAAAAAAAAATAGTTTATGGTAACTTTCGGAGACAGTCCAACGTGCAGAAGAAGTGAAGCGATACCCAGTATAGAATCTAGCTCTGTGATCTACTGTGTATAGATGAAGCTCGTTTACCCAGTTTGGCCTTTTCTAGATCAGCCCCTATTACTGTGTGCAAAAGTCAATTCTCAGCATTTTGACCACTGTGATGTGAATGACTTAAAAAACAGTGTGCTACTAAGGGCCTGCACATACTTTAAAAAATGAAGGACAAACTTGATTCTCAGTTGGAGTACGCTGGAAGCTTAGTCCTATCCCACCTATAGCAGGGTCCGCATCCTGCACCCGTTTCTTCTACAGAAATGAACACCTCTCACCTAGCCCTAGAAAAGTGCTACCTTTTGGGACAGCTTGCTTGAAGCAAAGAACTTCTGAAACAGAGTGGCTGTGGCAGGTATGGTTGCAGCAGTCACTTTATGCAAAACCCACAAGGAAAAAAAAAGCCTTATCCCCAGTCAGATCCGTCCTCCCTCTAGCTCAGGCATGTCCTATCTACAACTTTCCCTGAGCTGGTTCCATGACATATGTTGGATTACAGCAACTCATGTGTTCCCCAGCCAATGTGGCCAAGTCTGATTTATGCTGATCTGCAGTAGCTCTCCAGGAGCTCAGGCTGTGGTTTGCCTATACGTCTCCTGGATTCCTGGATCTTCTGGACGTGCAAAGCTGGCTCTGTATGCAGAGACAGGCTGCGTACACACCTCCCCAAAGAGAGTCCTTGCATTAACCAAGTGATTTACATATCCTCTGGCTCATCCTCACAGCAATCAGAATATCAGCTTGTTTTCTGGAGTTGTAAGTGATGACTCCCCAGAGATTTCTAATGCAAGATCAGATTTGTCAGATTTGTGTTCTTTACACATGTCATCTCTAATTAATCTAGGCCACCTATTTTGATCTTTTGCAGTTGTATCTCCCCGCAGACAGTCACTCCCAATTTTAAAAACAACCGTGTGCAATACTGAAACATGTGATGCCAATTTATGCAATAAATATTAGCTTACTGGAAATGATCCAGCACTAAGCATTTGCACAGCCTGCTTATTTAAATGTTAGCTCAGAAATCCCATTCAACTGAATGAGATCGGCTTTCTGGTAAATATACTTAGAATTATAATAGCACAAATTTCACAATGTCTACTCAGAAATAGATCTGCTGTGGGGCTTACTCACAGATAATTGTGTGAAGGACTGTAGCCGTATAGTCTCATTCATTTCAGTGGGCAAACTGAGATGTAATGTAACTGTATTGGTGTTTATTCAGAAGCAAGTCCTGCGGCTTTTAATGGGGCTTATACCTAGGTAATTGAACAAGATTTCAGTATACACAACCTTAAGTCTCAAGATTTACTTTGATACACAAAATAAATCTAGTATAGGAAACACTGATGGCATTTTTCAATAAAATATTTTCACTCTGAATGCTCATTGGGCACTAATGTTCTGATATACTGCTGTTAGCTGAATCCTAGCCTCAGCATTTCAAACTCTAGATCAGAGGATGGAGAATTTGTGATCTGCCTGATGTCCTATACTTTCTGTCAACCCTGATTGTTGGCCATGCTAGCTGGAGCTGCTGGATTTGAGACCAGGAACACAAGGAAGACAAAAATGTTCCATCTCCATCCTAGCTCCTGTTGGTAAGGAACCATAATTGGAACCGAATGAGAGCTGGTGGTCTAGCAACATTACCTCCATCCATAGGCACCTCTGCAAACGAAGTCCTCTTTTGGACCTCTTCTCCCCATTTGAACAGCACAGCAAGTTTTGAAATAATTCTTTAGTTAGGCTTCTCTTTAGTGTATCTGAGTCTTTCCTTGTCATGTCCAGAGGAAAAATAATGCCCTTGACTGGATCTTAATTCCTGCTGACTGCATCTGTGCAGTTTATTTATTAGGTTATATTTCTATCCACTTTTTCCTTAGGTGGTCCCCCATCCAAGTATTGTGCTGTGTACACTTCAAAAATGATTCAGAGGAAGTGCTTACAGCCATAATTGGCAGCCGAGGTGGCTTTAAAAAACAAGATCATGCAAATTTAGCCTTTGAGGAATCTGGTAGATTTCACTGATGGTTCCCATGTAGAATTGTATAGGTGGGAATAATCCAGCCAGGCTTGCTCTTGTTTTTAGTAGCACATTTAAAGAAATTAATGCACACTGATTTTACTTAAATCATTCCTGCAGATCTGATGATCATTAAAGGGATAGCAACAGGGTGCCAACTATATGTTTTTACTCTTACTCACATGGAGAAATGCATACTGTGCAATTAAATGAACTGATGTGATTAGAAGTATTATTATAGCAACTTGTTATAAAAGAGCTATCATATTAGTTTCGACATTAATTGTGGACATTTAACAAAATATCACTATGTAAAACATGTTGTAGGGCTGCTCCCCTGTGATTGCTTACTTAGGAGCAAGTCTAAGTAATATTGATGTCCATGTTAACATGTATCGGAATGGACTGCAGCAGCTGTTTTACGCATGCTAATTTGGGAGTCTCATTGCAAGCATGCAAGTTTCTTCTGAGTAAATGGGCATAAGAACAGGTAGCATCTTCAGCAGTATACTGTATACCCCTACTTTGTTGCTAAATGTGGTTGGATTTACTTCTGAGTAAGCATGCATCAAACCAGATGACAAGTTCACATGATCAAACAACTTTTTATTGAGGGTCTGGAGATACCTGCATACGTAGGCACAGCAAGAAAGGAAACATGAAGAAATAATATAAAGTTGGTTGTATCCTGGTTGAATGCCTAGTTATACATTAAAGAAGCTTAAGTACTGTACAGTAAATATGTTTAGGATAAGACAGCAAATACAAACTATCCAAGATGGGTGCAGATCTGGCCAGCCACATTTTAGTCTAGCATGTTCAGTGAACCTAGCCCATGTGGTTGCTTTATGTCCACTGTGTCTTACAAGTCCAGAAAATTTTATTATTTGAGTAAGCTATGCTTAATCAACCTTAGATAAGTATATTGTGAGAACAGAGCCTGTTATTATTAGAATATGGGTATATTTTATTCTTACCTAACCCTTATTCCTTCTCCCTTACCTTCTGAAGGGGAAAGACCCAAACACTCTGTGACTTTCTTCAGCTAGTCCTTTACAGAAATGTTGACAGCTATTATTATGAAGATGAGTTCATGTACTCAGTTTGTATTCAGTAAAGTGTTTTATACTAACAATCAGGCTGTTTATATAAATATTGCATTTCTACTTCCTGTCTCGTGTGACTTATAACTATTTTGACACTCATGAGCAAGTCAGCAAGAAGTGCCAATATATATTCTATAATAATAGATACTGATGTGGATGGATCCATGTGGATGAATACATCTGGTGAGGGCTTTAAACTGTTGAGTTGCCAGACAGAACACTATGTTACAACTATAACCTGTAATGGGAACATCAACCCCTTCTCTCCTTTGGTATACTGCAAGCAAGATAGCAGTGGAAAACCAACCAACCAGAAGTTAGCATCTGTCTAAAGTGAGTAATTATACCCAGTCCAATTATACTCAGAAGATATAAGTTCAGAGGCTGTGCAGGGATCTAGATTCAAAGAGCAAAATGTGATTTCGAGTACACATAGTACCTGTCAGGAATACTGTAAAAAGGCTATGTCTTTTCTTGGATTCACTTTCTGCAGCCGAAGAGTGATCCTGGGAAAAGACACATTTGGTTTAAGGTGTTCCTGACAGATCGTACACATGTTCTCATGCTCACCCCAAATCACATTTGCCCTTCCATGCTGTACTGCTCCACAGCCCTAATAGTTTCTATTAATTTACAGTATCAGGTACATGGTTGTTTTTATTAGGGCGGGTTTTTTCATGATGTACTAGAATGCCCTCAGTTTTATTTATTTTATATTTATTTATATATCACATTTATATAGCCGCCCATCTCACACGAAGCGACTCTGGCCGGCATACAACAGTTGAATAAAACACCAAATAGATAAAAACAAGCATTATAAAAGATTATTAAAATTCTAAGTCACGCCTTCTAGAAGATCATAGTAGAAGCGCGTAGCATGGGTTCTTCTCAGCTGATCAGCCAGCTGTCTGAATCCTGCTGGTCCAGCTCTGCATTTTCAACCCATCCGTAAACTGTCCTCTTCCTTCCATCCCCCAGTTTCCTCCCTCTTTGAACTTTTTAAGCTAACTAGACAGATAGCAGCCAGCCAAGTGAGCTAATTGTGCAGCT